TGGGTCAGAATTTAAGCTATTCCACGACTAATTTATCTGAGAGGAAGGTAATCTTTTCCATGTGGACACGTTCCAAATGAAACATGATCTTGTTTGCTTCTAGGGGCCAAGGGAAATGAATATTGGTTAGACAACCGATGACTCGTGGGGCAGGGGTTCTACAGGCTGTGTGGTAGGGTGCTAGCCTTGAGCAAAAAGAGCTCAGAGACGGAGCCTGGTCCCCAAGTTCAAGCCTCACAACCAACAGTTGCGGGGCTTGAACTCTGGGCCTGGGCGCTATCCCTCAGTTCAAGGCCAGTGCTCTATCCCTTGAGCCACAACGCCACTCCGGCTTTTTTGCCCCCCTGCTACTTATGTGGTGCTGAGGAATGGAACCCAGGGCCTCATGCATGCAAGGCAAGCGCTCTACCACTGAGCCACCTTCCCAGTCCCAACCACTCACTTTTCCTCTTGACATTTGGCAGATGAATTTTTCAGTCAAGGCTGTGCCCCGGGGTATCAGGAAAACTCCACCCTCTGTGACCTGTGCATAGGCCCCAAAAAATGCGCTCCTAACAGCAAAGAAGGGTATCACAGTTACACGGGCGCCTTTAGGTAAGTGTCTCAATCCTACCACAGGACAGAACAATATCCCATTTCCTCTCTGGGGAATCATTCGTTCCCTATCCAACCCACGGAGGAGACATCTATACACGTCCTTTGACCGTGACCACTAGCTCCTTAGGGTGGAGACATCTAGAAGCTCTGTGATGCACAGAACAGCACCGATCAACAAAGACCTGTCCAGCTCCCAATGTGCTTTGGTGCCAAAGCAACAGAAAGCTTCTACAGTGGAATAAACGCCGGGTGGGGGAGCGTGGCTCAGGCCCTTGCATAATCTAGAAAATACGATTTCTAAATTCCTCCCTTTAGTCACCTTTTTGGTTTTGGTCAGTTGTGGGGCTTGAACTCTGGGCCTGGGTGCTGTCCCTCAGCTTCTTCAGCTCAAGGCAAGCGCTCTACCACTTAGAGCCACAGCACCACTTCCAGTTTCCTAGTGGCTTATTGGAGATAAGAGTCTCACAGACTTTCCTTGCCGGGGCTGGCTTTGAACAGTGATCCTCAGAGCTCAGCCTCCTGAGTAACTAGGATGATGGGCATGAGCCACTGGCGCCTGGCTTTGGAGTTTCTCATTCTTGTTTCACCCTACTGGAAAGTGGATGCTCTCTCCTGGTGTTGGATACTAGGAAAAGGATGTAAACTGTTGGAGAAGCTATAAAAGAAAATGTAATTTTTATACATGCACAGCAATTTGAAGCCCCTGGGGCTTTGCTTTTCCCTTTACTGCTTATATTACTTAGTAATTACTTAGTAATTTCTGACATGGGACAGCCACGCTGTATCGATCAGGTGCGCCCCTGTCCCCCACCAAATGATACCCCTATTGGTCTCACCTCTCGACCTCTGCAGGTGTCTCGTTGAGAAGGGAGATGTGGCCTTCGTGAAAGATCAGACTGTCTTTCAAAACACCAATGGTATGCGTCCCGAGATGTAAAAATGTGGGCCGGCGGGTCTCCCTTATGCTGCGTATGTGACGTGGGAAAGAATGATCTGGAAGAATGTCCTAATTTGGCACGTCTGCTGGGGGGGGGGGAGAACCCAAGCCTTTTGCATGCTGGCACGTGGGACCCTCCGTCCTGGCTGATCTAGCTTCTCTCTCCCTGCCCAGGGAAGAACCCTGCTGACTGGGCGAAGGATCTGAAGGAGGAAGACTTTGAGTTGCTGTGCCCAGATGGCACCAGGAAGGAGGTGAAAAAGGCTGACAGTTGCCACCTTGCCCGAGCCCCCAATCACGCTGTGATCTCCCGGAAAGATAAGGCCCGATGTGTCCGCACCAAGTTACTCAGCCAGCAGGTATGGACTGGCCTAGGCCTCCCACCATTTATTCTTAGACAGCCGGAGACTACTTAGAGAAATTCACAATGAATAGTAGCTAGGATGACAGGAGGGAGCCACTGGCGCCCAATGGCTGCTTTACTTTTTAAAAGAAGATGGGGTAGCTCCAGAAGTCCTTTGAAAACATACAATGGGGGGCTGGGGAGGTGGCTCAGTGGTAGAGTGCTTGCTTCGCATGCATGAGGCCCTGGGTTCGATTCCTCAGCACCACATAAGCAGAAAAAAGAAAAGAAGACATACAATGGCCAGGCATGGTGGCTCACACCTGTCATCCTAGCTACTCTAGAGGCTGAGATATCTAAGGATGGAGGTTCAAAGCCAGCCGGGGCAGGAAAGGCCCTGAGACTCTTCTCTCCAATGAACCACTCAGAAAACCAGAAGTGGCGCTGTGGCTCAAGTGGTAGAGCGCTTGCCTTGAGCTGAAGAGCTGAGGGACAGCGCCCAGGCCCAGAGTTCAAGCCCC